ACACTGGAGACATATGGTATCTTTGTAATACTTCTGTATTTACAAGTAAACACACTGATCATGGAGAACCACGCAGACATCCAGAGATAACAATAGGCAAAACAGCATAAATTCAAACAAGACATGAATTTTGAGTCCCCAGTGCCATAAATCTGTTGGGTCCAACATGGGCCTTTCCAGAGCGAACCCTTTGGGGTCTGAGTGTGGCCTGCAACAACCCTACCACAAGCTAAACAAATTACTAAACCATTTTCAGATCAAAAAATCTAAGTTTCTTAGAAGAGCAATGGAGTTAACCCAGCAATTGCGATCTTTCTTGCCATAGCATCTGCTTCTTCCACCACTAGTCCCTTTAATTAGTAGCGCCATGTGCCAAGAAATGTGGAGTATAATACTGTGAACTGGAGAGAAAAGAACACATAATTTATAATTTTCCTGTATTTACAACAAAGAGGGATGGCGCAGAATGATATGTGGTGAACTGTGAGAAGGACAACTAAATGATAGCAATGTCTGCTCTACCAAAATTGGGGCAGATGACAATTATTTGGGCCGAGGAATGTTCTCTGGAGAGCAAGAAATGACTTATGAGAAGTTGACTAATGTAGTCAAGTTTGGCACTGCAGGGATAATTCAAGCCAACCATGGGAGAGCTGGCAATTTGGAGACTGAAGGGGACAGAAGACAATAAACGAAAGAGTGGTACACTGGAATTGGATAGTTCGGATTGTTTTTATTTAAATTCCCCAGGTTCTATCATTTAAAAATTTTAGGGTGTGGCTCCATGGCATCTGCTGGCTGGATAATTTGGTTATCCAATGCATGTGAGATTGATGACTCTGTCAGAGATCCTACTTTCAAACCAGCTGCAAAAATCAATTCCATCTCACCTTCTAGCTCTCAGAACTACTTTTTCCTGCTCTCACACACTCCTTCATATCTTTCTTCCTACGGTCTCACAAATCTGCTGAGGAGGGTTAAGAAACCCTGCAAAGCAGATTTGGGGGGGGGGCATACAGCCAACTGCAGGGCAAGAAGAGTTAACCAGAAGTCCTGTTGCCCAAGTTGATTTCTTTAATGCAGGCCCTTCATGTGTTATTGGACTTCAACTCCCATTACCCCCATGCAGAATGGCCAATAGTCAGGAATGATGGGACATGTATTTAAGCAATCTGGTAGGCCACATATTCCCTAGCCCTGATTTAGAAGCTTCAGCTGCCAATGCTTTTTGTGTGGTGGTTCAGTTCTGAGAGCTGAACCAACAACTTACAGATTAGCACACCCATTGCTTAAATTTTACACTACACAACTATTGGCCTAGGCGGAAAAATATTTTAAATCCCTATACATCACTACAGAACTCTTCTAAGCAAACTTCAAGGCAGTCAAAGGAGTATGTTTATTCCTATGTCCCTAGAAAGATGTGTAATAAACCCAGGATTAATTCCACCTGAAAACATATACTAGTAAGCTAGTTCAAAAAATATGAATACTTTTATTTAAAGTAACTTATATACTGCCTTTCACCAGAATGATTATGAGGCAGTTTACAAAAATAAGGGCAATACAGTGGTACCTTGGGTTAAGAACTTAATTCATTCCGGAGGTCCGTTCTTAACCTGAAGCACTACTTTAGCTAATGGGGCCTGCTGCACCACCACTGCACGATTTCTGTTCTCATCCTGAAGCAAAGTTCTTAATCCGAGGTACTATTTCTGGGTTAGCAGAGTCAACCTGAAGCGTCTGTAACCCAAGGTACCACTGTACAATAAAACAATACAGCTAAAATATACAAAAATATATCCAGAAGTTGTACTAAGAATTAACCGCCTGAAAATGTCTGAGAAAACAGATGTAGCCTAACAACCTCTACAAAGGAAGTTTTTCTCTTCACTTCTGCTGAATTGCAATCCTGAGCACAATCTGAGACCAGGACCCAAAGCCATCTTGAGTAATCATATCAATATATAAAGTTAAGTAATACTATTATACATTTATGCAACATCAGAAGTGTACTAATAGTAGTACAGAAGATAAAATGATTGTATTTGCTACCCAGAAATTGGAAGACGGGAGAGAATTTACTACAGTACAGTACAGGATATATCTAAGGAGAAGCAACAATGAAGCACTAGCAGACAGAATGGTAAACTGTCAAACTATACATGAACAAAAGTTGGTATCTTATGTTATCAATGCCCTACTGCTGGGCACTGAGCAAAACAAACCCCTTCAAAGGCATTTACCATTTACTTTACCACAAAAACAATACTCAAAGGAGTGAAACCTGCATTGTTATGAAATTCATAATGACCTATTATGTCACCATGGTAAGGTTATCATACGATGCCAAGGACAGCAAGATGGAAATGTACCTTCTGCTCCAGAAGGAACCGTAAAGGACAAAGGAAATTACACACAAGCAAAATTGAACTTCTCAGAATAGGAGTTCTGTCAATAGGAATTAATGACCTGGACTGAATTCCACACATTTCCAAATTCAAGGTGGGTCATCTTATTGGGAAGTTTAAAGAAAGTAAAATTTAGACTTTTACTGTCCTTAAAAACCAGTGAGCACCAAAATAGGGAAACAAAAATTAAATTAAAGCTTTTCCATTCCATTACCACAGCAGACTACACACAGTTTAGTATTAAGAAGTATAGTAAAGTCAGCTTCAGAAGTTAAAAAGGTAACATATAAAAAGATTCTAAAGTCACTTGAGTAAGCATGCAGCAGTAAAAACTGTATCCTACAACTGAGTTATTTACCTATCTACTGCTGGAAAACTGCCATTCTTCCAGTTCTCACACACTTTATTTACTGCAATCCAAAATACATATTATTGGGGAAAGGAAGATACTGAACACAATGAGGCTTACTCCTGAGTAAGCACACAATGTTAGAAACTCACATATATAAGCTAATTGTCAAATTGCACCTTAAACCAAGGTTGTAGTCACCACAATGGATTGTTTAGGCACCACCCCCTGCACCCGATGGGGGTGGTTGTTGTTATTATTCATCTCATTTGTATAACACTTTATATTTTAAAAAACAAATCTCAAAGTTGTTTACAACCCATTAAAACATCAAATGAAACAATCCAGAATAAAACAAATCAAGTTTCAAGGAAAATATTTCTGATCCTTCTCGAAGTGACATTTTGCTTTCCCCCAGGAATAACCTGGCATCCAGAGATCTCTGTGTGGTCACAATTGGACCCACACTAGTCGCAAAACGCGCCTGGCTAATTTCAAACACTGCCTGCAAACAGTTGCACTTTTATAGCACAATCCTATACATGACTACGAAACAATAGTTCAATGGAACTTATAGGATTGCATGGAATAGAAGATTAGACTCTTCAATCCAGTGCTTTTTTCCTAAAAAAAATATTTAGCGATACTCTCATTTTCCTACTCATATTGAAATATTGCCCCTCAATGAGGCCAAACTTAGATTCACAAAATGTTTAGGGGTATGTGTACCCCCAGAAAAAAGTACTGCTTCAATCCTATTATTAGGTACTATTATTAGGTACTATTAACCATACAGTTGTTATTTTTGTGCAGAAGCTTGTGAAGGCCTGCCACAACAGACTTAACTGGAATCTAGCTACACACGAGTATTAAAAAGTATCTTAATGTAACAAAAATAATGTCCAGTTCTCCCTTTCAAAAATGTTATGCATACAACTTGCCCTAACCATGCTATTATTGAAACACCTCATTTTTTATATTATTCAGTGTATTTGGAGCAAAATTTAGAATTTTACCCTTTGCCAAATTCTAAGCACACAAAACAGTAAGGCATGAAAACCATTTATAGTGGGCAGGGGAGACTGACTACACTTAAAGGAGGCAGCTTCATTGGTGGGCAGGAACTGCCTTCCAGACAAAAATGAAATCGAACTTACTGAACAAGCAAGAGGTCGTAACCTCCACTTTGAACTATTCACTGTGCAATTCAATGCCTATTCAGTAGTAAACCCCATTGAATTCAATGAGACTAACTCCCAAGTAAGAGTGTACTCTTAGGCTACAATCGTCTATACGCTTACCTATGAATTAAGTTCTGCTGGACTGAACAGGGCTTACGTTTACGATGACACACACACACACATATGGTGATAACATTCCAGGTGTATGTATATATATACCTGCAACGTGATCACCATATGTGTGTGCAAATAAATAATACACACACACCCCTGGAATGTGATCACCTTAACTAAAGCCACAAACCGAAGCTTCACACATGCAAGCGAAGGGAAAGGCGGCTACCGCTGGCGAAATAAAGTGAAGGTAAAGATCGCTGCAAAAGCAGCCAGAGGAAGAATCAGATTCTTAATCCAAAACCAAAGGAAGGTGTGGTCAGGCTCGCCACCGAAAAACAGGCCGGCAAGCTCAAATAAGGTCACTCTTCCTGTTAGACAATAAAGAGGAGGGAGAGATGATGCCCCCCCCCCACAAACCACGAATTGCAGGGTTTAGAGCGGCGGGGGCCGGAGTCTACTTACTACAGTACTGCTAACACGCCAAGCGGATCCTGAAACAATTACCCGGAAGGCCTGTAATTAAAGGGGGGGGACACCGCAAACTCGCCCTTCCTCCGTTTTTCTCTCCCTCTCTCTGGTGACCACGTTATCACACATCGGGCGGGGAGCTATTTCTCGGGCGCCCCTCCCTCGCCTCCACCCCCCAAAAACAACAACAGCCCCCACAGCCTCCCACGTTCAAGTGTCGGGGGGGGTGCCTTTTACCGGGGGCGTCACGAAGCCCTCCGACGTCACCCGATTGTGGTCTCACACCGCGGGGCTTGCACGAGCGACGGTTTTAAAGGCCCTGATCCCGACCTAACCCCCCCCCGGGGGGGAAGAAAGGGCGAGATAGGGGCGAGGTCGCTCCTCCCGCCGCCCCCCACCCCCCGCCCGCGCTGCCCGCCGCCTTCCTCCTCCTCCATTTTCCAGCCAGGCCCGAAGCGGCTGCCCCTCACTCACCGTAGAGGAGGGAAAAAGGGGGCTCGAAGAAAAATAGGGGGGGGCAAAGAGACTCGGGGTGGGGGAGAAAGCGAGCGCGTTCCCGCCTCGGTGCCGGCGCCTCTCTCCCTCCCTGGGCCTCAGCCGAGACGAGCGGCGGCGGCGGCGTCCGCCATTTCCATTCCCTCCGCCTCCTTCTCTCCTTCCCTCACGGCTCCCTTCAGACTTGTTGCTCCGCCCGCGCCGAGGCTGAGAGGAACCCGTCGCCAAAATGGCCGCCCGAGGTGGCTGCGCGCGAGGCGGTGCGCGTTGGGCTGCGGGGGGCGGGGCGGAGGAGGACGCTCTGCTCCGTCGCACGCAGTGGCAGTTGGGAAGGCGCCCAGAGGTAATCCGGGCGAGGAAGGAACCACAGAGAGAGCGGAAACTTTAGAGGGTCTTTCTCTCTGGTGGGGGGAGCAGTGCAGAGCGGCAAGGAAAGGCATCGAGCGCCCCCTCTGGGCGGGAGGAGGAAGTGGCGCAACGTTCTTAATCCAAGTTGTTCATGAACTAAGCTGTTCTTAAACCAAGGTACCACTCTACAGTATTGAGAAGCGTTCTGGATTTCCATTACGGGTGGATTATAGGCATAGCTGTCAACGTTTTCCTTTTTTAAGTGCAATTCCCTTATTCCGAATAGGATTCATTGCAAGAAAAGGGAAAAGTTGACAGCTATGGTTATAGGTTCAGCCCTTCCAAGTGTCCCTATTTTCCAGGGACAGTGCTGGATTTACAGATGCCCTCCAGATTTGCATGCCAGAATGTCCCACTTTCCCTTAGGACAGGCATAGGCAAACTTGGCCCTCCAGATGTTTTGGGACTACAACTCCCATCATCCCTGACCACTAGTCCTGTTAGCTAGGGATGATGGGAGTTGTAGTCCCAAAACATGCAGAAGGCCGAGTTTGCCTATGCCTGTGATAAACTCTACAACCTTTGGAAGACATCTGAAGGCAGCCCTGTATAGGGAGGTTTGTAAATGTGTTGTTTTTATATATGTCAAAAGCAGCTACATGGGAAACAGTTGAAATCCTTTTACAATGAACCTTCTTAACCTTTTACTTCTACCAGACCTATACCTGGAAACTAAAGTGTTTGTAGATAACGCAACTGAAAAGTTACCTTTCATATGCTTGCACAAAAAGTAACTTGACAAAAGGAAGCAAACTACGTATTTACTATTTTATCTTTAAAGTGTTGCACCAGTTTAAAATAGCAAAATTACAGTGGTGCCTCGCAAGACGAAAAGAATCCGTTCCGCGATTCTTTTCTTCTAGCGGTTTTTTCGTCTTGCGAAGCAACCCCATTGGCGGCTAAGCGGATTAGCGCTATTAGCGATTTAGCGCTATTAGCGGCTTAGCGGGCTTAGCGGCTAAGCTGTTAAAAGGCTATTAACAGCTTAGCGGCTTTGAAAAAGGGGGGGAGCGGGGGGGAAATGGCGAGACTCGCAAGACGTTTTCGTCTTGTGAAGCAAGCCCATAGGGAACTTCGTCTTGCGAAGCGCCTCCGCGACGGAAAACCCTTTCGTCTTGCGGGTTTTTTGTCTTGCGAGGCATTCGTCTTGCGGGGCACCACTGTATTATAGGGACAAAAATGCAAAATTATTATAGGGACTGTAGCAGGAACCCCCCCCACCCCAATCATTCTGTTTGTACAAACTTCACACACACTCACACTCACACACTACATACGCCACACTTCTGTTATAAATTCATAGAAAAATCAACCATACATCGGATTTGCACTGTTCGATTTTTATTTTACTCCATATGACAAGGACTATCAAAGGGGGGGTGGCTTGGTTCTGGTCAGCCATAATCCCTTCACCATACCAGCACATCCACAGGAGCCCTGCCCAGTTGCTATGCCAACCCTGATGATCCCAGACAGAAGACAATCAAGATCACAAAGAACTTGCATATGGGAGTGGATTCAGCATGGACTGAAACAAAGGACAATGATCAGATCTTCCCTCTGGGGGCAGGAAACTTCAAACTCCCCTTTGTCTGCTGGAAGTAACTCATGGGGAGGGGGAAAGGAGGAACCAGCCAGGTGACAGGACACTCAGGTTACCACCAACTCCTCCCTCAACCCCTCCTTTCTGTAATGTATGCATGATGTTTCTGGGGGGTGGGCTTGACCTAGAGGAGGGGAATTTCAAAAGTTTTTATAAGACCTTGCACACTATTTTTCTTTGTCTTTCCTCTCTCTTGCAAGTGAGGGGAGCACCCTGTTTCAACAGTTCAATAAAGGCCAAGCCTACAGGCTGCTGATTTGCTCCAAGTTATCCTGGTTGGTGTCTTTGTTTTGTCCAAGGGAGCCCTCGGATTTTTCCGGTAACAGACAAAAATGGAACACATGATTAGCTAAATCCTCCCATAAGCTTTTAGTGTAGCTTGATTATTAACAATGGATGCTGATGAGTGGGCTATCTGAGCAGCAGATCATTTGCTCAATGGTACACGTATAACTATTTTTATGAATAAAAAATAAGGCAAAGAAGAATACCTCTCTCCATAATAACTGATTTCTGATTGTAACTTTAAAAAAATGTTTTTTGTGTAATAGTAGTAAATGGCTCTGATATTTTAATGATATAATCACCTCTTAATTGGGGCCTGGGTGGCGCTGTGGGTTAAACCACAGAGCCTACGGCTTGCTGATTAGAAGGTCAGCGGTTCAAATCCCTGCGATGGGTTCAAATCCTCCCGTTGCTCGGTCCCTGCTCTTGCCAACCTAGCAGTTTGAAAGCACGCAGTGCAAGTAGATAAATAGGTACCGCTCTGGTGGGAAGGGAAACGCTGTTTCTGTGTGCTGCTCTGGTTCACCAAAAGCGGCTTAGTCATGCTGGCCACATGACCTGGAAGCTGTACACCGGCTTCCTCGGCCAATAAAGCAAGATGAGCTGGACTAAACGGTCAGGGGGTCCCTTTACCTTTACCTCTTAATTACTAGTTTTTATTCTTTACCTGTTTAAAGTCTTATGTGTTCCGTTTATCCATGTGTTTTATCTTATGCTGGTCTGTGACTGAAATAAAGTTTGATACTGATGAATATCAGTGTAATTATTTGTATGACTTACCGTAAATAAATCACCTTAGCCAATCAGTCGTGGAAGAACCTGTGAAACTGGTTTGGTGCACAGAATGGAGACACAACCACAGACAGAAACAATTTTGTTGCCAGAATTGCAAATAGGCTTCTGCTGGATAGCTCTTCTAAGCATTTTGGGATTCTTCTTAGGGACCTGCACTTCCTCAATGTGCATCCCAATAACATCTACTCAGTTTGCAGGGGACCTTGCCAGCCCGAACTAGACACACCTGGAAATGAATCTCCAACCTTCTGCATGCAAGTCACTAGTTCTAACGCTGAGCTATGTCCTTCCCACAAGAAGGACGTCTTTTCACCCAGGCTTTACCACTTCCATCAGAATGAATTACCTGCACCTGTAGTCAACAGGTTCTATAATGCTGTTTTACTGTTTTTACTAAACAGCTTTATCGTTTCCTTTTCGTATGTCGCTTGAGAATTATTATTATTATTTTAAATTAGAATTTAACAGCTTCAACCGGTAGCGCATGAGGCTCTCAATCACGGGGTCGTGGGTTCGAATCCCACGCCGGGCCAAAGATTCCCTTGCAGCGCCTTCAAACGCTACGATTTTTAGGCCGTTCTAGGACGCCCATTCTCTATAGACCGTCTCTCCCTCTTTCCCCTCAGTGCCGATCCCCCCTCTCCCTCGTCTCTATGATCCACGCGACCTTTCGGAGGCGATTGGCTGAGGGCGGCTTTGGCGGAGCTCTCGCGAGAGGCGCGGCCTGCGAGAGGCCGGCGGCGGGGGTGTGGGGGGGGGAGCGGGAGCGAGAGCGGCGCAGGGAGGAGGGGGGCGGAGCAGGTGACAGGGCCTGGCGTTGAAGGCCCGGCGGAGGAGGCGGCGGCGAGCTCGGTCGGTGAGTAAGATGGCGGCGCCGGTGGGGAGAGGGTCACCTGTGGGAGGGGGGAAAGGCGGCGGCGGCACACGGTGAGGGGCATGGAGGCCTTCTCCGTGGCGGGATGCGGCGGCTGAGGGGGAAGCAGCCATTTTGGGGCGGCGTGAGGCCTGCCTGGTGGCGCCGAGGGGTCCGCCCCCGCCTGGGCCTGCTCTCGTCGGGCGAGAGGAAGGAAGCCCCGAGACGCGGCCGGGAGGAGCGGTGGGCGGGCAGCTCATGCCGCGGGAGACTCTGCCGCCGCCGCCTCTTCTTCCTTACTGGGGGTTTTCCCCTTCTTTCTCTCCCCCCCCCCCATTTGACACGACGCGGCCTCCCCGCCGCTTCGCGCCTGTCTCGCACTTTCCCTGAAGGGGCAGGGACAAGCTTCGGGGTTTCGCTTCTTTTTATTGTTATTATTTGTGCGCTGCTCCCCCGACACTCTCGTTTTTATTTCAAGGAAATGCAAGCTTTCATGGAGCCCTTTTTTTAAAAAAAAAGGGGGGGGGGACGAAAGGGAGAAACTGGATCCGATTCCTGCGTTGTGCGAAACGGATTGGAGCGCCTCTTCTTCTCCTCAAGTTTTAAAAAGGCGCTTCTCGTTCTGAACCTTTTTTTTTGTGGGGGGGGGGGGAGGAGGGGAAAGGCTTTCTTTACGTTTCGGTTTTACCCAGAAACAACACACGTGGTTCATATTCGGAGTGATTTTTGTTTGTGTTCTATCGGAAACCAGAGCGTTCGGCACTCAGTACACATGTGAACCTATATACCGTGCAAGCAAAATGAAAAAAGAAAGACCGATCTTTTCTCTACCCGTGAACTTCGTAACCATCCTCGGATGTTACGTGTCTTAATTAGGGACGTGTTGGTTTTTAACAGAGCTTTGGAAAGAGGAAAGCGGTTTCAGTTCTGGATGGAGCTGTATCAAAGGGATGCATCTATCCTAATAGATATCGCAGCAGTTCCGTTTAGGTGTTTATTGTGACACGTTGCTTGAGCTTTATCTTTAAAGGGCTTCCGGTTAGCTCCTCACTGGAGACTCCTACGAGGTGTATATTTTGCAACACAGTCCTCAGCAGTTTTTTCAGTTCAGCCTATGCTATCCTTGAAGACCTAATGAGACTGTACAGAAGTGGTAGTGTTGCTAGTGAGTGGTAATTAAAGTGACTAAACCTAAAATTTTGTCAAGGAATCATCTAGACTGAGTAAGATACATTTCATGGCAGCAAGACACCAGCTTTCAGTCTGGTGTTCAGCTTTCGTGCACCCAAAAAGGGTGGGATTAAACCATACTGCTTAATAGCAATT